CTTCTTGCCCTGAATCTCCTTGGCCCTATCTCCAAAGCCTAGACGATTGGTAAGAGCTTGAACATGCTTATGTTCTACCACGCTCATCCATCTCTCTGTATGTCCAACGTTGGGGTTTCTGGCCATTGACTCTATGACTTCCTGAGCTTGTGGGGGTAACCTGATCTCATGTTGATCAATGATCAACAGAATAGACTTCTCCCACTTGCCCTTCATTCTCGAGTACATGATGTCCAGAGGATCAATCACCTTGTGGTTGGGTGATGTAACGTCGGTTCTAAAGTAAGAATATGTCCGACAACCGTAAATCGCATGGATGCACTTCTGTACCAATTCAGTCATTGCGCTGGCTTTCTTCACTTTCAACTCCTCAATCTGGGCATCAGTCAAGTCGGTGGAGTGTTCGAAGTTGCCATATTCCTCCTTGAAGGAGTTCGGAGTATGACCAAATGATAGGATCATGAGTGCTACCTTGCAAATGAATTGCTCTCCTCTGAATCGATGCCAGGCCTCCTCAGTTGTAATATTGTTGTCGTTGGCAAAGATTAACATCATCTCATCTGTTGGATCCAATGGTCTCCCATCGCCATCGATTTCAGTGGAATCTCCTGTACCGAACTTGCTTATCACATCCAGACGCTTCTTTTTCCAATTTGCTTTGAAGTCGGTAAGGTTGGTGCAATAGTAGCTCTTGTACATCAGGGAGATCATGCTCAGCACACATTTGACCACGTACCTATCCATCAAACCCGATGCTTTCACGGAGACGTCCTGACAGTAGGCTCTCTCTTGATGCGCATAGATTCGAGGTTCCGGTACTCGACAATAGATGGGGAGATCCTCGTTGTCTTTTCCTTCTTCGGGATTGAACTCGGTCGCTCCATGCTGTGCATAGTATCCCGGTTCATCACGATCTGTCGGTCGATTCGCCTCCGGATGTAAGTCGTCGGTGACGTCTTCATCCTCGGGCTCACCATCTTGGCGTTTCTTCCCCTCATATTGTTGTGTGCTCCTCTGGATCTCGATGATCATATTTCGCTCATCTTCATCTTCTAGATCAGAATCACGACCGTAGTCGATCTCGTCCTCATTGAAAGATGGGGTCTCGACATTGTCACTCTTGAAGTTTTCTGCACCATCAGACGGTTTGGAAGGATCTAGATTGTCCATGTCCTCGTCGTCGTCAGCTGCTTCAGTTTGAGCGATGTCTTCTTCCCAAGCCCTTCTGATCTCGTCCATAGTGGCCTGGTCCAAAGTATCTTGAACATCATCCTCAGGCTCCTTCTCTTCCTTCTTTTCCTCTTCATCGTCGGTCACAAGATCAACGGGCGAATCGGAAATGACAGTGTTGCGAATACCACACGAGAGTAGTCTGCCTTGACAAGATAGACACACGGACAAAGATGAAGAAGTCAAATGCATACATGATGGACACAAAATGGTGCCATCCACGTTGCGATATCCTTCACATGTTCTGGAGATGATTTCGTCCCAAGTTTCCTCACTGATGGAATCCTCGATCAGCTCTCCATTGTCATCGAATTTTACTTCATCGATAAGGGATACGAGCTTTTGGACGTTGTCATCTGTCGCCGAGGCTGACTTCGTGACTTCGTCGGCTCTCTCGAGGATGGTATGCTTCTGAGCAACCCAAAGTCCATGACGTGCCGCTAGAACAACTTGTTCTCCGGTGCTTCCCAGCAGGAGTCTCCTCCATGCCTGAACGTGGTCGTCCCAATACCAAGCACCTCGTACACATCTCCATGGAACTTCTCTAAAGACAACAGTGTAGGAATTCTCCGAAATTCTTCCCCCAAGCTTCCTCAAAGTCATGATTGGAACATAAAGACATACGGGCATTCCCCCCCTTGGCCATCTTGATCTCAGAATCTTTGATGATCGATCATCCCACGGCGCAAAGTGGTTGAAGAAAACACTACCTCTATATCCCTCCATTCCACCAGGGACAATTCCTAGTTTCATGATTGACTCAATATTGGAAAGCGATGTCATGTGAAAGCTTCCTCCAAGCTGCATTGCCACATTCTCTGGAATGAGATGTGAAGTCCACACAGGATATATTGACACATCTTCTTCAAGAACAGTCTCTCTTCCAGAATTGTGAGAGGCAACAGCTCGAATTGCACAAGGAACGATCCAACGTTCATGCTTCAGAAATGACGGTGCGTCTGCGCCGTAAAACATGAGGTTTGCTCAGTATTGCCTTTCCTCTTCAAGTGAGACATCCTCCTTTGAGATGCGAATGGCGGCAATCTGATAGCGTACTCTGTTTTGCAACTTCTTTGCATGCCACATCGCCTTGCACAAATATTGGTATCGATCTGTCTTGATATCTTGCTCACGTTGAGTGCCTGAGATAGTACTGATATTGACACCATCGCTGAAGACATGATCATATTCCAGGATCTCATCGATGTTCACCCATCCACCCTCATTGCACTTCGGGGACACATGTGGTTTTCGACCGCGGTGCGATTGAATCCCATTATGCTTTCCCACTCCATGCCTGAGTAGTCTATTGAGTCTATGGCTAATCTCGCTGATCCACTGACTCTCCTCACTGGACTTGTCGATGCGAATTGCTGGGTTCATCTTTGGTGGATCCGTGAAAGTTGCATCTATCTTCGGTCCATTCCAGTACTCCACATAGAATGTAACTCCATACTGTGGAATTATCTCAATGTTTCCTCTATCGCAAGCTACCTCAATCTGCCGATATCCAGCCTTTTGAAATTGTTGTGGATCAGGAGCAAGGTCCTTCACTTTGGGCATCTTTATTCCGAGTGCCGCAGCCTCCTGAATAAGTGCATCAAGTTCCCTCTTTCCATCGGGACCTGATCTATCAACCCTGTGATTTGCGACCTTATATTCTCCTCCTTCTTTGTCATCGGCAATGTCAAAGAGGTCGACGGGCTCTTTGAATCTGGTGACGAAACTGGCGTTCCCAAAGGCCTTCTTGGTTGCCTCGACCGCTTTCGCGTATTCCTCTTTTGCAGAGTCTGACGAATGTGGTCTATCTTTGGCTCTCGGAGAGTAAGGTGGTACCTTACTTCCTAGTTCCGGTTCTTCTTCGGGAAGTTCAATATCTTCATCATCCACATCCATGTAGTCCTCGTCTTCGACGTCTTTGGATGACTTTGCTTTCCTCTTTCGGTTTTCAACATCACGTCGGATGATTGCCTTGTCGTCCTCGGTGAAGCACTTGCGCATAGTGTCCTCCATGTAAGAAAATGATTTCATCAACTCATTCTTCTTCTCAGTGTCGGGA